TGGAGCTATTAGTTGGTGAAGTAGGCTGCAGCAAACGGTGGCTAAATCATCAACCGAAGCAGAGTATTGTGCGGCAAATGAAGCTGGGGACGAGATTATTTGGCTCTCATTATTTCTTAAGTCTATTGGATTGCCTCAAGACACTCCGTATTACTTGAATTGTGATAGTTTAAGCGCCATAGACATCTCTGAAAATGCGGTTATGCACGGGAGAACAAAAGCCATAGAAATACATCATCACTGGCTACGGGAGAAAGTCAGAGATAACGTGATTAAGCTGGTTTATTGTGGGTCTGAAGATATGTTAGCGGATCTATTAACTAAACCTCTGCATCCTGGTCCGTTTAATGAGTTTCGAACACCATGTCCTTGTGGCGGTCGCCCGACGACGAGCGCACACAAACTCCCATTGAGGCACAAAGGCGACTCGTGTGCGCTCGTCGATGAGCAAACACCACACGGGCATGGTGGAAGGAGAATAGGTATGAGGAGAGTTGATGAATGAGGATATCTTAATTATGTCGATTGAGGGGGGGTGTTGAAGTGTTCGATCAACGGGAACAAGAAGTTACACAAGTGCTACGAGGAAATACGAGTAAGAAGTAGTAAGAGGTATATTACACATGTTGGTATAAACAAAAATTAAGAATGACATCATTAATTGCCCCAATGAACAATTCTTTATAAGACTTGTCGCTCTATCCAATCAACTTCTCTTTCCCATCTTTGGGAAGAGAAGTAAGTGATATTTTATCTTTTCATCACATTATAAGTTTGGTTAATCATATAATTGTTTCCATTTCATATTTATATTTCTACTCATTCAAACAGATCAATCTCTTAGTTTTTGCTCCAGAGATCAGTTATCAAGTTGGATAACTTAACTAATCATCAATCTGTACCATCAATTAGGTATTAACTGTTCAGAATCATTAATCTCATCTTTGTCATTTCTAATCTTAGTGTTATTGTTATAGGTCAGAGTCTTTTAGCTTAGAAGCAGTTGTTGGTAGTTGTGATCCTTGTGCTGAAGCGCACGCTTTCAGGTGAATACATAATCTTTGGGAAGAGAAATCAATCTCTTAGTTTTTGCTCCAGAGATCAGTTATCGAGTTGGATAACCTAATCATCAATCTGTACCATCAATTAGGTCAGAGTCTTTTAGCTTAGAAGCAGTTGTTGGTAGTTGTGATCCTTGTGCTGAAGCGCACGCTTTCAGATCCTTGATCATAGATTCCAAGACTTTCTCAAACCCTTCTGGGCAGCAGCTTGCTTGAATTCATTCCTCCAGGCTGCAGATTGAGTGATGTGACAAGTGATGAAGTCAACCTGAAAAAAGCACAAACCAAAGATTTGATGATCGTGTCCATGAAAATCACATGGACAAAAAAACACTGACTTTGCACAAAATGTACTCTACGTTGTCTGCCTCTCAACAGTGAGTATGATGTTCTTTTTTTCATGTTCAACAGTTTGGGATATTTGCCCTCCTCTTCTTTCTTGGCAGCATTCCACTCACCTTCATCATCCAGTTCATGAACAGCCTCAACAAGGGCTGGCAAGTCAGCATCAAGTTCCTGTGGGTTGTGCTTGTGTTCTTGGGCTTTGGTCATATTGGACAGTCCACTGATGATTTCCTCCTCCTTGCCCTCTTCAGAAATTGTACCAATTGCTGGGAAATGTTCACAATCTGCTTCCTTAACCTTGATGGGAGGGGGTACTTTAACCCGCAGTGCATCCAACCCAGCATGGACAATTAAAACCAGCTTGTGGCAAAAACAGAACACGTGCATCAAAGTTGGATCCTGTCAGCCATGAGGAGTATTTGGCAATACTCCCATTGTCAGAACAACAGCACCAGAGTCAAGGGTTCTCCTGGGCAATGACAGCAAAGCTCAAAGCAGCCAACCCGTTGCAAAGACTCAATATTGGTCTGTCACAGGGTGTATCCTTTTCTGGTTTCAGCGTAGCAGATTTGAAACCCTTATGATGGCACATAAAGAGACCCTGATGTACTAGAGGTACTAGATCAGAAAGCAGTATATAAGAAATGGTTTTCCGCACCCAAAGAAAGAGAAACACATTATTACAAACCAAACTTTAAACCTTTAGAAATGAACCTCTATAACATTTTATGAAAAACCCAGCCAAATACTTTTAAATTAGAACTCATCTACTCATTGTTGATTCTTCTTATTTTTCTGTCTATCATGGTTTTCCATCTAATCTGTTATCGTTTATCATCTTCCTGAAAGGAATTCAGTTCTTGAAATAAGACCATCTATGTAACAAACTTTTGAAAGATTCTCGTTGAACATTATTCCTACACCTTTCCTCCAAACTAAGAAGCGTATTTCTAGTTTTGATCAAAGCAGAATATAGACCACCCTGAGATAGGTGTACTACTGTACCCATCTGTAGAAGACCTTGGATAATTCAGCATCTATCCATTGAGTACATTTTGTTGAGATTCCGAAGTTATTGATAACTAAAAGAACTAACATCTCCTGGCTCGAATTTATCTCAATAAAGGGTTATCACCTCTATTGTAACAAAGCCCATATAACTTGTTTTAATAGGATTCATAAGCTTCATTCAGTACTGACTACTAAAAGGACTACCTTTTATAGACTCAGGCTGACAGATCCCATTTGTAAGCTAAATTGTTTTCTTCAAGGAATTGTCAGTGTATCTCTTTTGCCACTGTCTCATTGTTAGAACCCAAGTCAGTAGTTTGGCAGATCATGTAGGAAACGTAAGAGACAATGTCAACACAACACATCTTGAATGAAGTGATTGAAAGAATCAAACTTATCTTTTGATAAATGCCTTGCTTAACCAAGAGGTTAACCATTGGCTTGGCCAGCCAAGGCCCTTGGTGATGCCATGTTAGCACCTTCATTGTGAGGTGGCGTAGGCAATAGTTCCACTGGTCATCAATGTAAATGACCAATGCTCCAATGAAGGCATGTCAATTACCTTTGTTGTCCAGCCGTCATGGACCAAATTGAACTTTGATTTGAGAGCCTGGTTAATTTCAATCAGTTTTAAAAAAGAAGATATACATAGAGTGTGTGTTACACAAATCTCACCTTGAATTCAGAAAATACCAATTGTTTGAGTGAAACATTGATTTTCTTAGCCTGATCAGCTGCCCACTGACAACCATGGAGACTTGCTTCCTTTCAAAGGTAGTAAATCCTGCCCCAAAGAATGGGATCTTCCATTCGGCTCCAAGGCTGAGCGTGTCGGATAAGCCAAAGAGAAGCCATCTGGTTGAGAGTCTGATTTGAGTAGGCTATGTTGGGTGTGGCCACAATAAAAGAATCAAGGGGACCTGTCTTCTTTCCAGCAGCCTTTTGTTGTTCTACAACTGAAAGAGGTACAAAGTCCGGATACAACCCACAAGCTTTCAGTTGTCCATTGCAACCTTTGTCTGATCGGCCGTCCTAGGTATAACCATCTCGGTTGGATTTCAAGTTGCCAGTCATGTTCGTATAGATAACCCTTACAGGGTGCCTCTTGTCCCTGTGACAGAAACAACACGGATACGAGAGTGGTGGCTCTGACCAATTCTATCCAAAAGATAAAAAAACCAAAGGATGATTGAAGATTAAAAAATAAAGTCAGCAATGTGAGAGAAAGATAGAAACTGTTCAAAAATGAAACATGGCCACTCACATCACCCTTTTCATGAAACGGTGCATCGTAATAAGCTCTAAGCTTTTCCAGTTCAGTCCGGTTGTCTATGAACTTTTGCCTCCTCGCAGCTATACCCTCATCCTCGTCTGAATTGGCTCGTAAGGTGTCTTTAGTGACGTTCTTGGATACGGTCTACATTTTGGAAGATAGCAGTAATTCATAAGTTTAGAAGGAAGTAGGAAGTGGAGAGTAACAAACACACCTTTGCTTTTGAAGAACCCTCGGATCGATTGGTCGGTTTTTGATTACCTTTGTTGGTTGATTCTTTTCTTTGTTTGGTTTTCTTCTTTGGATGAATCTCCAATCACAATTTGTTTTTCATCGGTACGCTTTTTTTTGTTGCTTCCAACTGTAGGCTCATTGTCAAAACTGCCCGGCAAAGTTTGAGAGGCCTTCTTATGCTTGCTTATAGGCTGGCCTGCGACTGAGGCGTTACTGTTGATCGAAAGGTGTCAATGTGAGTCCGATGCCGTTGGTATCATGCCAGGCTCCACAATACTCTGGGCTCTATGTTGAATCAAGTCTGGAAACCACAGATGACGTCATGGTGCTTTCTGACCAGTGACATTTCACCTCTGTTTCTGTGAAAAGTGTCTCAGTTTGCTTGGACATCTTCCGTCAGCTGATATTGATCTGATCCCGAGCTTCTCCTTGCACGGGCAGAAACTATGATGGGAGGACGCCGACAGAGACCATGATGACTTACGTCCTAACCCGCCACGAACCCTCATGCTCAGTCGGCGGAAATCATTGAAGTGAAGCAGTACCAAGCATAATCGATTTGATTTGGATGCAACTGGAGAAACACTGTCGACTACGTTTTGGACCATCGACTTCAGGCCGCATGGAACACAGAGGCCACTCAACAATCTGGCACCGCCTGAACTCGAGCAAGCTCGATGGACTTTTCGCTCTTCAGCTCAACCGGATGGAAGCTCAAGTATGTACTTAATTCACATTTGCACAACTTATGTAGGTGGTTTTCGACCAAAGCAGGCTTCTTAAACAAAGGCTACAGCGGAGCGTTTTGTCCAGGGAGGGTGACAGGGAGTTTACTTTTGAAGGGATACAAGATCTACGATCAGGCTCTGGTGAGGCTAATCACTATTTTTGATAATAAACAGGCTTGCATGATCCAAATTGGTATCATATGCCCTTTTGTCACCCAACTCTCAAAGTCTTGTATCACGCATTGTGATTCCACTTCATTTAACAGTGTGCTTTTTAATCCCCTGATCCGTTATTTTTCATTTTTCTCGCTTGATCAGAGTTTCATTCCTTATCTGTCTTCTCACCGTTTTCTGTTTTGTCAAGTGCTCGCCTTTCGAGAAATCAATTTTCAATCAGCAACGAATCTTGCGGCCCCTCGAGCATATCTGTCTCAATAACCACCTCTCAACTCAAAACCCATCACGATGTTGCTCTTCAAGCCTCCGCCGTATCAGGTGCACGAATCTTTCGACGCGCTTCAGACTTCACCTACAAGCCAACGCAATCAGCAGTTACTTCATCTTGCGCCTCCCTCAAAGATTATCTCTTCCTCTTCGGCCTGCCCTCTACCACGACCACGTTGGCGGTACCTCTTGTTTTTCACACTTGCTAGCTTTATAATCTGGGTCACTGTCGTTTCGCCTCACATCAGTATCCAGTCTTGGAACGCGTCCACCACATTGCTCCAGGACTCAGCTATTGTCAACTGGGCATCGAAATCCTCAGCGGCGGCACTTGATATCAAAAACTGGTTGAGACCCAACTCTGTGGATACTTCCCACCGCTCAGACTACCACGACCTCGATGCCGACATCCTAACTCCGTTGAAAACCAATCCCTTTTCGGAAGACATCACTTCTCCCTCTAGGACTGCACCAACTTCGAGCTCCAAGAAGATTTTGGGTGAATCATCGAGTCTGCTTCCGATGTCTGATAGAATCCGGCCCAAGAAAAAACCAGCGCAGCGACGGCCCGAGCTACCCGCCTTCAAGCCACGTCCAGACATTTCCTATGAGAACGTCCGGCCGTCTCCTCATGAGTTAACAGAAGATCAAGCGACATCTGAAAATTCTCGCTTCTTTACTTATCTTCCTCATTCTGGGTTTCACAATCAACGGATCGAACTCCAAAATGCTTTTCAGCTTGCTCGACTCCTAAACCGAACATTGATCTTGCCTCAGCTGAGACTCGGTCGAGCATTGGCATGGTCTGGCTCCGACGAGCTCATCAAGACTTACGAGCGTGAAATGAAGAATTTTCATTTCGATTGCATTGGCCACAAACTTTCCAGTGGCCAATCTCCAAGCACACCAGAAGAATGCCAGAATTACTCAGATTGGACCGCGGTACAAGTAGATTACCTCATGGATGTGCAAGAGATCGTCAAGCAACAGCCTGTGGTCGATCAGCTTGATGTCCGCGAATCTTGGTTTTGGGACGCACTGCAACTCAACGAAGGAGATTGGTATAGCGTGCAAGACAACACGCGTTACAGTTATCAAATATTTGAGTCAAAATTGACGGCGAAGCCCTTGCATGACAAATACCAATATCGCCTGAATGTTGATGATCTCAAAAGTTATGGCCACGTAAAACTATTGAGTGTTGGCTCCTTGTTCGGTAGCAATAGAATGATCCTCGAGAGCCAGGAAGCGAACTCATGGAAAAAAAAGCTAGCCGCCTCGCAGCTTCCTAGTGTACCAATCCTTCGTTCAATTTCGGACCAAGTCGCTCAACAGCTCGGAGGACGAGGCAATTACATCGGTTTGCACCTGCGAGTGGGAGATCTGTACTTCAGGGTTAGTGACATCAACATCCGCTTTTCCTTTTCATCAACTGACGTTCCACATCCCACCGCAGAGACAAGCCGCGAAATCCATGCCGAAAGTCTTTGAGAAACTGTGTTCAGAAGTTTTACACCTTAGCCAAGAGAAAATCGATCAGCTAGTACATAGCCACGAGCAATCCTTCACGTCGAAAAACGGTCAGAAACATGAACCTCGGTCCTTCTTGGAAGTTCCCCGCGACTCAAATCCCAAAATTCAAGATGATATTCAAGAAGATCACTATCAGTCTTGGAATCAATACGAAGATGAAGAGGACGGTCTAATCGCTCAAGCCGACTCTGTAACTGCTCCCTCACTCTCACAAGACAACATAAAACTAGAGGTTCCACTTTCTCTTTCACCAGACCACTTGCCTCTAACTAGACGGAGCTCAATCTACTCAGCCCACCGTGCCGGTGCAGTCGACAACATGAAATGTCGAGGACAGTTGTATACTGACCCCGAGTTACAGCACCTCAACATCCCAATCTACATCGCCACCGACGTCGCACAGCCTATGGATCACATCCACCTTTCAATATTTTTCAAATCCTTCCCTTGTGTCTTTACACTATCTGATCTCATCTCTCCTGAAGCTGGAACCAACGTCAGAAATCTAGAGAATATTCGAAGTGGGAATGACGGACTTAAGCTCAAACACTTTTTAACTCCAATGCTCGATGCTATCGTTGCTGCTAAAGTAAGTACCATGATTCAAAATGTCTTCATAACTGCATCGCGAATCATCAAATTGATTAGTTCCTGTTTCACTTTTTTACTAGGGATCTGCAATGTTAGGAACACCGGGCAGTACATTCAGTGATTACGCGGTGTCTATCTTACATCGTCACTATATCAAGCAAATAGAAACTCCATCAAGAAACAGGTCATAGCGGCCGCTGTAAAATTTCATCTTACGTTGCCTCATGAATATGTACCAGTATATGTTGATCAAATCATATAGTATTAGAATGTCCATCTCCAAAATTATACTACTATAGAATTCAATTCCCAGGAAAAATATTGTTTGATTATGCACAAATGTGTCTCTCAAACGCTTTGGTCAAATATTCTTGCAACCACTGATAATTAGACGAGAAAGAACCCCATCTTGTTGCTTGAAAAGTATCTTTACAGATAAACATCAATGCCGCGACCCCCCTTGACCTTTCCTGGCCACGAAAGCTCGAAAGTGAAGTCACAAATTACAAAAGAAAATACAATTCATCTCCCAAATTCTTGAGTTGGGCCAAATATATTCCTAGATCCTATCATTGAAATTTTTGCCTACTTCACCCACCCTAAAAACTCTTGATTCGAGTTCAAATAATTCATATTTTACATTTCCCCAACAGCTGATGAAATGTGTGAGAATTTACTGAATCTATGGTCATGACTGACACCATAATGGGCCGTGGCCAAGGCTATTGCTAATTATTCCCTGTGCTATACGTACTCAAGCTGTAGACTGACAAGATAATAGGACACCTCAGATGCTGATATTCAAGCTGCTCCGGCGCGAAAGTAAGTTTGGAGGTGTCATGGAACTTCAACTGTCACTTCAAGGCTATCTGGACCCGGCATGTCTCGGATACTTGTGCCCGAGGACACCCAGGGGCTCAAGCCCGAGCCAATCATATTGGGCTGAGCCTCAACACAAAAAGCCTCTGTTCCATTTTCACTTTTCAAGATTCTGGCTTCGAGTTGGCAGTGAGGAGCATGCGCAATCAAGGCTAATGGCAGATAGATACTACTCACGCTCACACCCGATGCCCCGATGCCTCGTGGCGCCACGGCAGGGCTCAGGGCAAGGGCCGGGGCCTCGGCCTCGGCCATGCCCTGGCCCTTCTGTGTGATTTCGTGTTCTCTGTGCTCCAATGAGGGCGAGTTGGATTTGTTCCGTCTTCGCGGCAAATATCATGAAGGATGGTGGCATTATAACGTGTATAAATTGTTGAATTGTGCCATGTTTTTAAGGCCATGCGTGGCATAGGCCATGGCCCTGGCCACGCCCTGGGCCACGAAAAAGTCACCGGGTGTGAGCGTGAGATACTACTACAAGCTGCCCAACCAACCCGTTGCGAGAGGGATATTTTGACGTTGGGGGACCTCATGAGGTTGACCACACAGGATACCTAGAAAGGACAATTGACCCACACAGCGATGGACTTCTTCCTGGTAGAATCTCAGGAGAAATGGTCTGATCCTTGGAAAAAACCTGCAAAAGCTCTTAAAGCTTGTGCTGACAGAGATATGCGGGGCAAAGCATGCTCGGAGCATTTTCAGTCTTCGGCTTGCTCGGTAATGGCCAAAGACCGGTCTTGATCATCTGGAAAGTTCGTCTATCGAGGTCATCTTGTCAACTTGAGCCAACAATAATCGAACGAACAGATACTCAAATCATTCTTGCAAGCTCAACGACTGTAGAACAACATGCATCTAGGCACCAAGGAGCTCGATAAGATATTGTTAACCAATGTTGGTTTGCTTGCCCAGCGCCGTCTCTCCCGAGGTGTGAAGCTCAATCTGACCGAGGCCACAGCTTTGATCGCTTGTGTTCTACAAGAGTTAGTGGTCCTGTGTCCTCTGGGATCGCGAACGATTGCCCATCATTTCTATTACTACGATCCAGGCTTATTCGAGATGGCCAATCATCAGTAGCGGAACTCATGCAAGTGGGGCGAGAGATTCTCGGCTTCCGACATGTACAAGCGGCGGTTCCTGGTCTTTTGAAAGATGTTCAGGTGGAAGGAACGTTGTATGTCCATGTCTCAAGCATTCTAGCATCCTTCACATTTGATTCTGATTTGATACAATAGCCCCGATGGAACTTTTCTAGTAACGGTACATTCGCCGATCTGCACGCCCTTGGGGCGTGAGCCTCATCTCTCATTGGCTCTATATGGCTCTTGCATACCTATCCCAAGCGATCTGATATTCCCCGAGGGTAGTGAATCTCCTTTATCACCTGAGCAACTACCTGGAGCCATCATCGTGAAACGAAGTTCAAAGCGAAGGAGATCTGGAAGTGAAAGCGCCCAGCCACAGACTTTGAAGATCAACGAGAACCGTCCAAGGCTGAAGATAAAGGTCACTAATACTGGTGATCGCCCCATTCAAGTCGGATCACACTACAATTTTTCACTCACCAACCCCGCGCTGAGGTTCGATCGCTTGCTCACTCTCGGTTACAGACTCGATATACCTGCTGGAACATCTGTGCGGTTTGAACCTGGAGATGATAAGAGTATACGTTTAGTTGAGGTAGGCGGTACTGGACATGTAAGCGGCGGCAATGGGTTGGAAGGTAAAAGCTGGAAAAGGGGGGATATCGTTGGAGGCAAACAGCTCGTGGATCGAATGATCCAAATGGGCTTTCAACATGTCCAAGCCGATAAAGTTGAAAGACCAGAGAGTTGCCATGAGATTTCGAGGGAAGCTTACGCCAGGTAATTCTCAGATCATCTCCCTCGACCTCCGCATGTACAACTGACTCGCTTCGTGAGCTGACAATGACTTGCCATATGAAATCAAAGTATGTTTGGACCGACCACCGGGGACAAAGTACGGTTGGGAGACACTTCTCTATGGATAGAAGTAGAGCACGATCACACCACCTATGGCGAGGAGCTTAAGTTCGGTGGTGGGAAAGTGGTCCGCGAAGGCATGGTTAGTGACTCTAAAATCGACACTTTCCAGCATTGTGATGTTCTAATCACCTCATTACATTGAACAGGGTCAAGCAACTGGAAGATCAGATGCAGAGACTCTGGATATCGTGATTACCAATGCATTGGTCTTGGACTGGAGTGGGATATACAAGGTGAGTCTTGGGCATAAAGTTCTCCAAATGAGCTATGGCTAGATTCCTACGGGCAATACCACCAGCATTTCAGATAGCTGAATGTATGATATTTCTCCTATCAGGCTGATATAGGCATCAAAGGAGGTAATATTGTTGGTATCGGAAAGGCAGGGAACCCGGATGTTCAATCTCGAGTGACCGATAACATGATCGTGGGAGCTAACACAGAGGTGATCGCTGGAGAGGGTCGAATAGTGACTGCCGGTGCTATCGATGCACATGTACACGTAAGCTGAAAGTCAATGATCAGGGATCAATAGTTCACGGTGATTCTGACAGCTCTTTATCAATATCAAGTTCATATGTCCACAACAATGCAATGAAGCTTTATCTAATGGCATAACCACCTTGATCGGTGGTGGCACTGGCCCTGTAGCTGGCACAAATGCAACTACTTGTACACCTTCAAGAACTCTGATTGTAAGCAGTCTCTCATACAACGGAGAAATAGCCGTAGTTGATTTTGGTGACATACTTTTTGTTGGAAGAAAAATATGTTTGTTGCTTCAGATAGCGTTCCGATGAACTTCTTGTTCACGGGAAAAGGTAACGATTCAGGCTCTGCAGGTTTGGAAGATATGGTGCATTCCGGTGTCGGCGGCCTCAAATTGCACGAAGTGAGCTACTTTTTTTCCTCATGTCTCGAATACTTCAGTTTTACGAACGTTGATGACGTCATTCAATTCCAAAGGATTGGGGAAGTACACCGGACGCCATCGATTCGTGTATGTCAGTGTGCGATAAATACGATATTCAAGTTTGTCTTTGTTCTCAATCACATTGTATTCATCGTCTGACTTTGATGTATGACTTGCCAGTGTAACATTCACACCGATAGTAAGCTTCATCATCGAGACCAAACCTGTGACGCTAGCTCATACTTCATATCTTCTCCAAAGCTCTGAATGAATCTGGATTCGTGGAGGACACAATCAAGGCTTTCAAAGATCGCGTAATCCACACGTAAGACATTTCCACGAATATTGGTAGATGAAGTAATGTCCATCGTTTCCAAACTGAGGTATCACCTTGTAGTTATCACACCGAAGGCGCTGGTGGAGGTCACGCACCTGATATCATTGTCGTATGCGGTAAATCGAACGTAATGCCGTCTTCCACAAATCCTACTCGACCTTACACGAAAAACACATTAGATGAACATCTTGACGTCGGTCTATTTTTCTTAATTGCTTCTCCGAGAACAAACTGATAGATCATCGTGGTATGGCATTTTTGAGATAGATGCTGATGGTATGTCACCACCTTGACAAGTCGATACCTGAAGATGTTGCCTTTGCGGAGTCGAGAATCCGAGGTGAGACTGTGGCCGCAGAAGATGTATTACAGGACATTGGCGCCATCTCCATCATCAGCTCTGACTCTCAAGCTATGGGTCGAATCGGTGAAGTTGTCAGTCGCACTTGGCGAACCGCTTCCAAAATGAAATCCCTCAAAGGTTGGCTGAACGAAGAGGAGAAAATTCGGGGTATTGACAATGACCGTGTCAAGCGGTATATTGCTAAATATACCATCAACCCGTAAGCCCGCTGTGTATCTGATGGTGCTAATTTGATGACCGAGTAGAAGCTGACATGGATTGAAAAGCGCCATTGTACATGGAATCTCACATATCGTCGGAGATGTGGCCATCAATAAGCTGGCAGATCTTTGTATATGGACACCAGCAAATTTTGGGGCGCGACCTGAAGTGGTGATCAAGGGGGGTTATGTTGCGTGGGCGCAAATGGGCGATGCCAATGCAGTAAGACAAAATATCTCAGACTACCTCCATCCTGATATATTTTCACTGACTTGTCAAGCACGCTTCGGTATAGTCCATCCCAACAGTCCAGCCAGTCTACGGTCGACCAATGTGGGGATCACACTATCCCGTCATGGGTCACACATCAGTGGCATTTGTATCTGCGGTCTCGATTGAGAAAGGGATCACGCCGTCTTACGGACTTAAGAAGAGACTTGAGGCCGTTAAGGATTGCAGAAATATTCGGAAAACTGACTTGAAACTAAACAATCTGATGCCGAATATCACAGTTGATCCCGAAACTTATCGGGTTGAAATCGATGGCGAGCTGTGTACTGTTGAGCCAGCTGTCACGCTGCCACTGACTCAAGGATATTACGTTTTTTAGAAGTGGTCTTGGATAAACTCTACGACCATTCGCATTCTTGGGATGCGCAAAAGATGGCCCCATTCATGTGATAATGTATTGTATATTCTTGCAAATCAGAAGGCAAAGACCTTTAAGTAATGTAATTTACAGGCCGGTAAATCAACTGCAGCAACAATTCACTTTTAGGACTGTCTCAAAGGCGATTTGTTGTAGGGTTTATAAAATTGAACTGATGAGATATTTCCCCTACCTGTACCAGATACATGTCCAATCAAATCGTCACATTTAAGTCTTGCGGTAATAGAACATTTATAACTGGTCTTATCAGCTTTTTGTGATCACATCATCACTGGAATCACCTTCATGTTCAAAGAAAGGGAATACAAATCAGTCTTAAACCCACTCTAGACAACAGCACTTTTGTGGGCTGTGAGATATGATACCCAAAAATCAAAAATCAACCATTGGATCATTCTCCTGCAGAAGCTGATTTATCCAGGAGTGAAGGAAGACACAAGATCACCAAATGATGGTATATTGATACTTGTGACAAAAAGAACATATCCAGTCGACACTTCATATATTGTGTGAATCAAGTGCACTGAATCATGGACATGAAAGCATTCCCTACAGCATCAGGCAGTCAAAAGCAATTTACATATCCTGGAATCTTTACAAGAACCTGCCAATCTAACAAAGAAGCCGTTCCTCCACAAAGGACACATTTTTGCTTTATCTTACATTGCCAGATACATCATGAGATCCTTCATGTTGTATCCCTAACCACCTTTATCCACTAAAAATGCACTGTCTCTTGTTTCTGCTATGATTGCTTCCTCATTGAAAAATGTTAAATTTCGAATCCAATGTTAACATCCTATAATCATACAACAACCACTTCCGCATTGGTCATAGTATCTTACATTTCTTTCCTTCTCCTTATCATTAATTCGTATGTTTTACTTGTCCCAAAGCGGCGCATGAGAGACGCAATCCTGATATATACCTAACCTATGTCTAGAAGAGCCACCGCCATATAAAGAGCCACTGTTTGTGCCATGTTATTGTTTTTCTTCACTCAAACATTGTCATCTCTTTATCGTGCCACCTTCCAACAGGTGATTAGTTCTTTCCATCACTCCCTAGTGATCTTTTAGCCATAGCGCTCTTCTTAATCACTAACTCGTGATTCTTATCAGGTCTGCATATAGTTATCTAGTTTTCTCTTTCTTATTTATCAATGCTGCTCATGGAAATATATCACTCAAACATTGTCATCTCTTTATCGTGCCACCTTCCAACAGGTGATTAGTTCTTTCCATCACTCCCTAGTGATCTTTTAGCCATAGCGCTCTTCTTAATCACTAACTCGTGATTCTTATCAGGTGATTAGTTCTTTCCATCACTCCCTAGTGATCTTTTAGCCATAGCGCTCTTCTTAATCACTAACTCGTGATTCTTATCAGATCACCTCTGAATTCCCTACTTTATTAGGTTATGAGCCCAGACAACTCATCTTAATCAGATTCAAAGCGCTACTCATACTTCATGAGCGACGGACCAGCTACATCCGCACCATCACCAACATCAACTATCACCACTGAAACTAACACCCACATTACCCAAGTAATGTCCAATCACAACTGTGCCAACGAAGCCTCTCATATTACTCCATTGGAGCATGATTGGCAGCGCTGGGCACCTCTCATGCAAGCTCACTTCATGGAAGGTGATCTTGACGGTATTGTCGACGGTACTGAAGAAGAACCGGCTGAAGATGCAACTGCTGCAATCAAACTCGACTATGTTTGTTGACGTAAGAAAGCAGCTGGTTTTATCTCTCGAAAGCTAAGCCCTGAGAATCGAGCTCTTGTCATTAATTCCGACAATCTTAAAGACCCCAAAGCCATATGGGATGCTTTAGTAAAGTTATATGCTTCAACCAAAGCTCGTAATCGTGCTCGTATTCTTCGAAAATTCCTCAATCTGAAATGCTCCGACAATCATCTTTCTTCGTTTCTTACTGAATATCGCAAAATCACGCATGAAATGACTGAAGTCTCTTTCAAGATTGATGATGATATATTAGCGCATATGCTTCTATATGAACTCTCCTCTCGTTATCATTCTACTCGAGACTTACTAGCTCATACTGCTGAAACCGCCGACACCCTCCTTACGCTTGATCAAGTCTTTGAACACCTTCAACAAATCGTACTTGACTATCAACCTTCCAATGCTACTGTTTCTCCTCCTGCTGCCTTAGTTGCTGAACGACAAACTCCCACTTATGAATGTTGTTTAAACGGAACTCACAATCCCTTAACGTCTCATTCAGAAGATCAATGTTTTCAAGTTCATCCTGAATTAAAACCAACTCGAAATAATCGATCATCTAATCGAGGAACTGCTAACTCCACCAACACTATCAGCGGTACGGTACTTGCTACTTATGTCTTCAATGCTACCTTGACTGGCAAACCAGTCCTTGATTCCGGTGCTTCTCAATCTATGTTCAGCGCTAGATCTAGCTTTGTTAGTTATCGACCTTGCCACGCCGCCATTCATGTTGCAAACGGACAACAAATCTACGCCGTCGGAACTGGAACTGTCTCAGGAACTCACAATGGAAAGTCCATCTCAATCACTGACTGTCTCCACGTTCCTCAACTTGCAACAAACTTGGTCAGCATGGTTGCCCTGGTTCAAAAAGGCTGCTCTTTCAATTTCTCTCCGGATTCTAGTTTCAGCGTTGTTGTCGATTCTGACGTGGTACTTACTGGGGACACCAAGACTGGTGTTATGGAAATTAATTTCGATTTGGGCGCCTAGGCCATCCTGGACGGATTCCGTTCGAGAAAGCTTTTCCTGGAGTCCACTTCCCTGATCCTTGTGAACCATGTATCCTGTCTAAAACTCATCGCCTACCATTTAAAAGCCATCTTCCCAATGCCTGTGATCGTTTATCTGTAATACATAGCAATCTGAGTGGTCTAATTTCTCCTACTTCCCTTGGTGGCGGCAAATACTACTTTAAAATCACTGATCAGAAATCCAACTTTAAATTTGTCTATATTCTTCAATCAAAATGTCAAACTTTTTCTCATTTCGTGCAATTCAAATCACTTGTCGAAAATCAAACAAATCTTCGAATCAAAACCATGGTCAATGACAATGGTGGAGAATACACTTCCAATCAATTTGCTGAGTTTATTAAACATGAAGGTATTCAGATGAACTTCACTGCTCCTTATACGCCACAACAAAATCCCATTTCTGAGAGCGGCAATCGTACAACCACTGAACGATCAAGAGCACTGCTTAAGCAAGCCAGTCTACCTCTGGTCTTCTGGGCGGAAGCTGTTTTGACAACTGTCTATTTAGAAAACTTAACTCCTATTGTCAGAGACAACTTTACAACTCCTTACAAAAATTGGTTTCGGAAGAAACCAACTTACTCACATCTTCGCGTATTTGGTTGCCTAGCTTATGTGCATGTTGGTAAGGAGCGAAGCTCCAGCAAGTTTTCCGACGTGGCTAAGAAAGGAGTCTTTCTCGGCTATCAAGGAAGCATGCACAATTATCGAGTTTATCTTCTGGACAAACATCGTGTGATATACAGTCATGATGTAGTCTTCAATTATGGGATACAAAGTTGAAGCCGGGAACGGGCCCGGATTTTTTCCCAGATTGCCAAATACCGATATTAGCGGTAGTTCGGATATTGGGAAAAAATCCGGATTTTTTTAACTTTGAATCCCCGGTTGCTCC